CCAAGAATGTCAAGCAAACAAATACATGACCATAATACAAATGCTATAAAAGGACCATAATACCAAAACCATTCACGACTTGAAGAAATAAACACTATTAAATGTGAATATTTTTATACAAATATATTGCTTCTGAATAAGGCATCAGATCTTCTGGTTCTCCTAAAACTGTTATAAAACCTGGGGAAAACTCTTTTGAATTATTTTCAAACTCCCTAAAATTTCTGGAGTTTTCTGTAGTAAACCTGATTCCAATCACTTCGTGTGAGAGACATCAAAAATAACAAAACCACCAAAAAAACACCAAATAAACCCCACTGTTTAGAAAGCCAAAAGAGACACCACCAAATAAACGTGAAACTTTAAGCATAAATGTGACAGGAAAAGTTTGCAAAGTCGATAATTTAAGAACATATCCATTCTGCAACAGAGAATGCTTTTTGAAAGCAGTTTACAAAGTTGAGCTACAGATCAATCTCTCTCCCATGCAGTTCATACCTCTGTAGGAAAGAACTGCCAATTAGAACAGCTCTGAACATTTTAAATCTGTGTTCTTTAACCTCTTAATTTTCCCTTTACCCTCTACAAAATAATATCATGATCGGGATAGAAGAAGTGTATTAAATGAAGTAAATAAATATGTTAGAGAGATAAAGACATGTCATGAAAGAGTTATTTGACAAAATGTGAGCTAAATATTGTCTTCAGTTTCCAGTCTTCTTAACCAGCCTGTCAATAAGCCTCAGGATTTAGGTCTGAACCTTCAGCCATGTTACTCCATGACATGCTCAGTATGAAGTGGCCCCATCTTCTGAATTCTTACCAGAACTGGGGATGATGAGTCATCAGTTTAAGCATTTAACACAGCATGAGTTTATATATCAGCACAGTAAAAGTCTGTGTAACATCTGTGGGACAGCAACTAGAGAACTTGGATAATCAGTTTGACCCTCATTCTGGATGTCTTGGTCCCCTTCCACTCTTGCTGTGCTTAGAGACCAAATTTCACATGAACTATACCACATTAAAAACCGTCATTTGTATGGTTGTATACAAAACAAAGGTCAGATTCCTGGAGGACTTGAGGATAAACATGCATTGTTATTTTTAGTTCCCCCACAGAAAATTGATTATCAGTAGTTCTTACAGGAAAAAAGAATTGCCTGCCTGGAATCCATTTAAAAAGAGAAATTCTGAATTACTCACTGGGGAACAGCTTGATCAATTTTATTCATACTTTCAGGATAGTTTTAATTCCCTTTAAAAGTTCATCTGGAAAAAAAAAAAAAAAAAGATAAAATAATACCCCGAGGTAAAAAGAAGAAGGCGAGGGAGGGGAGGAAGAAAGAAGACATAAGACATACAGGCTACTAATGGAACTCTTATTGAGGCCTTAATTAAAAGCAGGCACTTGATCACTCTGTAATCACTGCCTTGAATTAAATGTCTCAAGTGCAATAACTAAAATATAATGGGACTTTTCAAAGTGACATAATGGAACAACATATCCTTTTTTAGGCTTATTCTTGGTTCCTCCAGATATCTTTTTATAAGTATTATTAAAAATGCATATTTATATTGCTTGGAGGCAACCTCTTCCCAAGAGTTCAATCACGAGAACAACAGAAGTGGCAATTGCTAAGGTACTTCTCAGATTAAGAATCTCCTACAGGTTCAACATTTGTATAGGCAGAGTAACAAGATCTCTGAAGCTTTGAATAATTAGCCTTTCTGCAAGGAAAATGAGACCACTTTGCTTCACATCAGGGTAACCTTGAAGAAAGTTTGCTGAAGTTAAGTTTTCACTAATTAAAAAGAAGAAATAAGGGAGATTAAAGGGGGGAAAAAAAGAGGACACTTTATAGGGCAACATTGTAAAGACACAACGGGGGAAAAAAAAGTTGTTAAGCAGTATACAGATGAAATGAAACAGTGGAAAAATATATAAAGATAAAAACAGATACAAAATAAAATGTTTTTAATTTGAATTTTTAATGCCAATAAACTTAAGATACCCCTGTATTGAGGGGATATAACTACATGTGTAAGCAAGTTTTCAATTCCTACTTCTGAGTACATATTCATGCAGCAAATTTAGTACTAGAGTTAGGGGTTTTTTAAAATTTTTGACAAGCACTATAGCAATACCTGGGTGGACTGTTAAGGAAAGAGAAAAATTTATAGAAAGAGATTTCATTAGCAGGATACCTTGCTGTAAATTAAAAGCTTTCAGGCAAGCACATATGGCACCTCAGGTATGGGACACAGAGACTTATTAAATGCCCAAAGCATGTTTCTGACAAGAACTGAAGCAAAATCCAGACAATGAAATTCAGGAAGTTTCAATATATTCAAAATATCATTCAATTTCTAAAGCTCTTATTATATATATATAATGAAAAATAAATAATAAGGAATAGTTTTATGTACTAACAGATAACAACAAAAAAGAAAAATAAAGAAAAAAAAGTAAATTATGAGGAAAACCAGATCTTGCTTCAAGTGTAGTAGTAGGTCTCTGGTTTCACTGTACTGTAGGTTTTATTTAAACCAAATTTGCTACATCCTGCTGCTTTCAAAGAGGAAAACTATTAGTTTCCAACTGGGTATCTTTCAGCAGGCTGATTCTTGACTTTTTACAAGTTTAAAAACTAAACAAAAAGACAGTGCTAGCTTTAGAGTCATAAATGTCAGCATGAATAACAAAACACGATAGACTTTAAAAAAAATAAAAGTGAGGAATGCAAACTCTCGAGGCTTTTACCAGCCTTTTTCTAGCCAAGGTGAGAGGTTATAATCCCTAAGTGTTTAAGGACCATTAAAGGACTCAATGGATTTGTAGGCCTTTCTGATTATACGGATCTCGCTGAAACTTAAGTCTCTGCGGTGTGTCCACGTAGGTTCCTGGGATTGTAGTGCCCAAGAAATTGCTGCCTGTAATAGCTGAAACATGGAAGAGAGCTGCAGCTACCTCTGCACAGTCCATTTCCCAGGTGAGAAGAAGGTCACCTAGATCTTTCTGGGAAGATTTTTCCCCATTGTTAACAATGTTACCTAAGAAATCATCTCCTAGAGCCCACAACAGAATTGAAAATCCTCCAGAAGCTGGAGTCTGCTTTGCACCTCCTGGGTTAATATCTGAAGGGCCTTGCACTGATCTTATACCACACAGAACTCAAACACAATGTGACAAACGGGCAAAGAAATTAATGTTGTGATTACACCAGTTAAGCATTTTTTATAATTGCTTCTAGCTGTATGATTGTTTATTTATTCCTCTCCCTGCATAGAAATGTTACTAGTTTAAATAAAGAAAAGGGTGAATAAAAGTTGAATCAATACTGACAAAACTTGCAAAAATAACACAGAAGTTGACATATTAGAATGACATAGAAATGATATTAATTATCTTTATAGGTTTGCGCAGTAGTTAATATATTTCACATTATTTAACTTGGAAAGCCATATGTGGTATCACTAGACGTGAAGAGTATCTCTAAACAAGGGAGAGCCCATGGGCCTGAACAGTAAGTTATGCCTTCCTTCCTTCCTTCCTTCCTTCCTTCCTTTAATGTCACATGTTGTCTACACTAAACTCAAAAAATTACAGTTAGAAAACACCAAAAATTTGAATTTCATGGGCTGAAAAATTTGCTGTGATGGCTCCACTTGAGCTTATAAAAAAATATGGGTCATAAGTAAGATATAGGCAGTAATGATGTTCAATTCATTAACCTGAATTTAATACTAGGATAGAAATCCATCAACTGAACTGTGAGGGCAAAATATTTCATATCTCTTAGGTATATAAGAGTCAAGTGCAACTCCTGGCAATGACACTGCAATAATAAGTGTTCAGGGATTATTCAGAATAAGAGCAGGGCAATATGCCACCTTCTCTAATCCACCCTCTAATACGCATGGGGACAAGATTTCAACTTGGATTTTTATTTACATTGATTTTCATATTATCAGGCATGTGTGGAAATAAGAGATCTCTTTGCATTCTGCCATTGGAGGAAAAAACATGTAATTTTCTTTCATAAATGCTAATCATTGTCAAAGTTTTGCTGGCATGCCAAAAGAACTGCATGCACTTGCCTTTGCTTTTGGCTGGTACTCAGCACCTTAAAGAACTGTGTCCTCTACTGAAACAATTGACAGATCTAATTCTTCCCTTTACACCTCATACATGGAAAAGGTAAAGACACAATGTTATATGTGGGCTTCATTTTGGGGAAAGTTTTCTTTGTGGAATTCTTGAAAGTAAAAGCTCTAGTTATTTTCTAACACTTTATTATTTCTTTATGACTGTGGCACAGATGCTGTTTTTGGAAAATATGTTTTCTCACAGGCGAGAAGTCAGTAGATTGGCAGGGATGACTCACTTTTGTGTTGGCTGACTTCAAGAAACAAAGCATTTAATGAGGATTCTAGTTATGTTTTTTGGAACACCTGCTTTTAAAAAATAACACAAAAGTTGATGAAAGTATTTCAGCTAATTTTTGAGTGCCAAAAAATTTCTCTGAGGTAAAGTACAGCATATCAATTCTCAGAGGGCTTTTTACACTATTAGAACACAAAATTTCAGCGTCACAAAATTATTTTCTAAGATAAAAATAAGAAAAAAAGGTTACACACACTTTTCAAATTTCAATAACATAATAAAATTAGAAAGGCTCATTATACAATATTTTTTTAATACAGATGATTTCTCTTCTCAGATGTGAAATGATATGTATCATATACAATAGCATTGTTGTTTCTTTCAAGAAAAGTGCTGTCACACAAAAAAAAGTGTGCCAAATTTCTCAGCATTTACCAGAAACTAAATGAATAAAAACACTACTCTAATTTCACCTAAATTCAAGTGTAAACTATTTAAGCAAGTAGTATAATGCAATGGAAAATTATCAAAATGCTTTTAAGAGAAGATTATTTTATTATGGTCTCAAACAAACATTTCTCTCACATTTCCTTTCCCTTTTGTGGTCTCACAGAGGTGTGTAAAGAAAAGGAGATGTGATGCAGTCTGACTCCTGAATGAGATTTGGAGAGCACAGAATAGACAAAGTTGCAACTTCTCCAAATATGCATAGGTATGAGTCAAGCTTTTCTTCTTATTGCAGCATGTAATGTCAAAGAAAAATATGAGAGCAAATAGATAGCTGGGAAAGTCTACCATCCTTACTAGTAGGTAACAAAGGTGGATACCCATAGAGGAAATATGGAGATGATCCTGCACTATAAACCAGGAAGTGATAGAGTGATAGATTCAGACTATTAAATTGTGGTGGAATGAAGAGCATTTATCCAGAGCCAAAATACAGATACACCAAACCCCTAGTGTTTTTTTCCATAATGTAATGTCAAAAAATCCTGGTTTCACTTTTTTTCTCTTATACTGGAAAAAACTAATATTATTAACTTTCAAATATCCTTATAATGATCAAATTAATATTTTATTAAACTTTATGGATTCTCTCTCTGAGAAACTATAGAGCAAGCAAAAAATTTTGCATCCCAAAACACTATTTCTTTGTAAAAAAGAGACAAAGAAAAATGCTATATTCCACTTCAACCTTAAAATCATTCCAGGTTGCTCTTGGACTTTAAAGGCTCTTTGTTCCTCTCCTCTTTGAGAGACTTTTTGCAAATCTTGTAGAAAGCTAAACATAAACTCACTAGCAAAACTCAAATGCTGTTTCATGTATTAGAGATGACTGAACTGACTGAATTAAAAAAAAAAAAAAATCTTGACTTAAAGTTCTAAAGTAAACTTTAAAAGAATGATGTATCCCTCTAGCTCAATACAGTTTGAATCTCAGTCACCATTTTCCTTTGATAGTCTTTGTAAGTTGCAGGCACAGCCTCAAGCAAAGACAAGTAAAAAAGGGATGTAAGGATATATTTTTCATGCCAATAAGTAAGGGAGAAATTTAAACTCAAGTGCTTGACATACAAGTAATATACTAATAATTACAGATACAAAAAATTAAATTACAAGGTATTATAATAAATTATATATTAATCTTGTTTTGTAAGTTTAAATAATATAATTTTTATATTATGTACTGCAAAGTGAAATAAATGATATTTAATATTCTTACAAGTATAATGCAAATTTTTATCAATGCTGTATCATGATCCCACTTTGTAAAGCACTTCAGGGTTTTTTCCCTGTCACTGAAAACTGCAAAGGTTTTCTACTCAAAATCTGACCCAGTCCAACCTTTTTTTTTTTAATTCATATGTTCTCAATAGTTAGAGTTAGTTGCCTATTTCAAAGTAGGATGAGTAAATATTTTAAAACAAACCACAATCCTGTGCTAAGATATTGCTATGATTGAACCCCTTTAAGTGATAATAATATGGAAATGATAAGGATTTGACGTTCCAAGGGCAACTTTTACTCAAATGTGTTCTATGTACATAGCAATACATTTTCTACTTAAAACTGTAATAGTAAGAGAAAGCTTTATGGCAGTTTCTTCTCTTGTTGGCAAGGACACCTCTTAAAATTATAAAGATTCATACTGGTGTACACAAATCACAGTACATAATATTTTAAAAGCCTGATCCACTGATGCTTTGTAGGACTTATACAGCCAACTAAAATAAATGCTGATGGTACTGACAGCTCTTCAGAAATTCTGAGAGACATCTGTTCACCGATGGAGTCTATAGTCTTACAAAAGATAAATCTGAAGGGATGCAAAATGGAAAATATTCCTTTGAGCCTTAGAAATACTTAACGGTTTGGCTTGAACTTCAAGTCAGTTTCCTTCTTTCCTTCCCTCCTTCCCTCCTTCCCTCCTTCCCTCCTTCCCTCCTTCCTTCCTTCCTTCCTTCCTTCCTTCCTTCCTTCCTTCCTTCCTTCCTTCCTTCCTTCCTTCCTTCCTTCCTTCCTTCCTTCCTTCCTTCCTTCCTTCCTTCCTTCCTTCCTTCCTTCCTTCCTTCCTTCCTTCCTTCCTTCCTTCCTTCCTTCCTTCCTTCCTTCCTTCCTTCCTTCCTTCCTTCCTTCCTTCCTTCCCTCCCTCCCTCCCTCCCTCCCTCCCTCCCTCCCTCCCTCCCTCCCTCCCTCCTTCCTTCCTTCCTTCCTTCCTTCCTTCCTTCCTTCCTTCCTTCCTTCCTTCCTTCCTTCCTTCCTTCCTTCCTTCCTTCCGCTCCAAGTTTTTATGTTCCATTATAAATTATAATAACCTCTCAGCTTTGAATTTCTGGCACTGGAGCACTCACAGCTGCAAACCTCTGCAAAATACTCAAAGACATGGAAAACTGGAGCTTGATAAAGCTGATTTTATGTTTAACAAGAGTTAATGAAATGGTCTCTAATGTGTAATGGGTATATAGTAAATTTGGATGCAAAAAGAAGCTGTGGACCAGTGAAGAAAAAAAAATGTATAAATGTATGTTAATAAACATATAAAAAATTATACAAAGTAGATCCCACAGTGAGGAATAGGAAAGCATCAACATAAATATCGTATTCCTTCTGGCAAAGGACTTGCATGCTGGCAATTAGCTGCTAACATTGGCATTCGTCACCAGCACCAGAGTGAAGCCACCCAGAGGAGCAGAGGAAGGTGAACATAACTGCAAAAAAACAGGGTATGTTCATATAACTTCATTATATAATGTATAACTGTAATTTCTAAATCACATTATTATTCTTTCTTTTCCTATGAGGAACATAGGAACATTAGACTAATAATACTGAGACTTTCAAGATATGACTTTTATTAGCAATAAATTCTTGTGGTTATGTATACATAATGTGTTCTTTCTCTGACTAGAAACAAGATTTGAATGTTACATGCAAAATTTGTTGTATAAAATTTAGGGGTAACTATCTGTAACATTTTTTAATGCCATCTTGACAGAAAACAGATAAAAAGGAAGGAAAAACACTGGAGAACATAATTTAAAGGATTAATTTCTGCTTTTGAATAGATTAAATTACATCTGGCATCTGAAGTAAAATGAGGAAATAGTGACTAGACTGAATTGTAATTACTAGCCTATAATATCTCCCATTTTATTTTGTTGTTTTTGCAGAATGTTTGAATAATATGGACCTGAACAACAGAAATATCAAGGAATGGATATTGTCAGCAATTACTATGATAGAACTTACCCAGCAAAAGACAAATATATTCCTCTGTTCTCTCTGTGTAGAGATAAGATTACCTCATCCCCACACTTTGTCTCTCATATCCATCAGCTCTAACATTCATCCATCTTTGAGAATGCAAGTCTGTGAACAGAGATCCCCTTCCTTGTGCAGACATGTACAGAAACCATAGGAGGACTCGGCCTTGCAAGGCAAAGGATCAAATCTGCCCTTGAGGCAATCCTGAGGTATTCTGGGAAGGTGTGTGTCCTGATTTTACCTGAGATTAATTTATTTTTCCCCAGTAGCTGCTAAAGTGCTGTGTTATTTATTTAGTATATACAGAGAAAATCATGCTGATGACACACTGGTAGCTGTTTTTGGTAGTTTCTCAGTAGTGCTTGCTCTAAATAAAGCTTTTTGCACTGTCTCATGCTCTGCCAGTGAGCAGGTGCACAAGAACCTGAAGGAAAGCACAGCCAGGACAGCTGGCCTGCCCTGGCCAAGGGGATAGTCCACACCACAGAATGTCATGCTCCCTATAAATTGGGGAGAGCTGGCTGGGAGCTGCTATTGCTGTTCAGGGATGGTCTGAGTCTCCGTCAGTGGGTGGTGAGCAATTGTGTTATGTATCACTTGTGTTTCTACAAGAAAAACAAGAGAGGAGGGTTTGGCTCCTCTCTCCTCTCCTTTTCATTACAATTATTAGTAGTTACTAACTCAAATATTAGTACCTAAAATATATTAGGTAATGTATTTTATTTTGTTTTAATTATTAAACTGGTATTATCTCAACCCATGATGTTTTACATTTTCTTTACTATTCTCTATCCTCCCCTGTGGGGGACAAAGGAGATCTGGTAAGTGGACAGCTTAGGGATCCTTATTTGTCAGCTGGGGTTAAACCATGATGGTACACAATAGCAGATTTTCATTGCTGGTTTTGGTTTTGGTTTTGGTTGCTTTGCTGAGCAAACACATTAATTGATTTGCTGTCCTTTCCTCAAATCCAAATAACTGCACTTCACAAATGTATTTGGAATCCTGAGTGCAGCCTTTTTCATTAAAATCATCCTTAAAGCCAAACCAGTGGCTAAGTAAGGACATAAATGCATTTGCAGAGATTGGACAGATCAAAGACTTGCAGAGAAGTCCCCAGGTTTTATTTTCCAGTTTTGTGTTTCCAAGTAGACCTTATGTGTGCTGAGGACTTTCTTTCCACAAAGCACCGCTGTCTGACACTGCATAAGAAATAGTGAATTGATTTCTGGTTTTGCTTTTCTTTGCTTGTTCAGATTTGCTTGACCTTTTCTTGCTTGACCAGTCAAAAGGTGTGATTATTCACCTGTATGCCAGACTGCTACAACCTCTCCTTTAGTACTGTGTGCAGTTCTAGGGCACACAATTTAAGATGGTTGTGAAGGTCCTTGAATGCATCCAGTGGAAAGCAACAAGGCAGGTGAAAGGGCTGGAAGTCAGGATTTGTGAGGAGTGGCTAAGGACTTTGACTTGTCTAGTTTGGAGATAAGGAGGCTCAGGGGAGATCTCATTGCTCTGTGAAGTTTCTTGAGGAGAGAAACTAGGGAAGTATTGAGATCTTCTCCCTGGGATCCAATGGTAGGATGCATGGGAATGGTTCTTTCCTACTTTTGAAGGGTGGTCAAATATTGAAACAGGTTTCCTAGAGTGGTGGTTGATGCCCCAGGTGCCAAAAATGTATTTCCATTCCAATAATGGTATTGCTGTTCTCAGCCTCTGATAGCCTCTGATCATAAAGTTATTATTTTCTAACAAGCTGATTTTTCGTTTTTTTACTGACTTCTGTAACAGAACATTCAAGAATCAATAGAAAGTTAAGCCTTATAGTTGCCTCCTGATAGGTTAGCATCGTGGGGCTAAGAAGATGGCATATATCATTAGTGACAGCTTCAGTTACAGATTTTTATCACTGGCAGAATGATGTAACCCTCATTACAAAAGAACATTGTTTAATTGATCCATTTTCTCCCAGCAGTCCTGTGGCTTTTTTTCCCTTAAAACATAAAGGCCAAATTGCAGTTCAGCTTCAATCGAGTGAAAACATTTTATTGCAGCAGGAATAAGAAATACTCCCTGCACAATTTAATTACCATGGTTTAAATATGAGAAAATCATTAGACAATTAATGTTACAAATGATGCCAGAGGATATTTTAAATAATAGTTAAATTAGTGCAGAGAAACCATGAAAAGATTTTTTTTAATGTACTGGCCCCCAACCTTTTCCTAGTTCTCAAATAATTCTTTAAGCTTGCCAAAGTTAATATGAATACACTGCATAGAATTTCAACAAAATGCCTATAGCTTCTAAATGGCTTTAATAGGCAATCATTTTGGAAAGTGGAGCTAATAACTTCCCTCACCACATGGAATCCCATGGGAGAAAAACAAAACAAACCTTTATATTTACAAAAAGCAATTGTAAAGAAACAAAAAGTACTCAAAGTGCATCCTCTGTAACTGACCAGAAGCCAAACTGAGAACAAGTTATTCCAAAGGTCTAATTGGGTGTTGGCAAGAATAAAGTGGTTTCTGCTGCGGCTTATTTCTCACCACTTATGTTTCAAATAAAAGAATCTGTTGGCTTAAAGACTGAATCTCTTTAAGCACTTAATTTTTTTGCATCAAGCTCTACACTGCTACCTCTCCCCAGAAAAATAAAAAAAAACCCTGGGGCCTTCCCTTCCTCAAAAGTAATTAATTTCCTCCCTCTGCAAATTGTACCAAATTGTGGACCGAATAGAATATATAAGAATTTACTGAAACGCTTAGAACATTTCTACGTCTTCCTATCCATTTCTAAGAAATCAATCTTCCTGACATCTGCAGTGTCTATATCTTAATAACTGTTCTTATATCTTAATATTTGGGATAGCAGGAGACAACTGCAATGTAGACACAGTATTTTCCTTTCCTTTCCTTTCCTTTCCTTTCCTTTCCTTTCCTTTCCTTTCCTTTCCTTTCCTTCCTTTCCTTTCCTTTCCTTTCCTTTCCTTTCCTTTCCTTTCCTTTCCTTTCCTTTCCTTTCCTTTCCTTTCCTTTCCTTTCCTTTCCTTTCCTTTCCTTTCCTTTCCTTTCCTTCCTTTCCTTTCCTTTCCTTTCCTTTCCTTTCCTTTCCTTTCCTTTCCTTTCCTTTCCTTTCCTTTCCTTTCCTTTCCTTTCCTTTCCTTTCCTTTCCTTTCCTTTCCTTTCCTTTCCTTCCCCTTCCCCTTCCCCTTCCCCTTCCCCTTCCCCTTCCCCTTCCCCTTCCCCTTCCCCTTCCCCTTTCCTTTCTCCTTCCCTTCCTTTCCTTTCCTCTTTCCTTTCCCCTTCCCCTTCCCCATTTTTTTATTAGACACCTGACTGAATCGGGACATGACAGTACAGAATTGTGCTTAACAAGTGTGGTATAGAATGGCACTAACTACAAATTACAGAGATGACATTTCCCAGTTCCAGCAGCCTGCCAAGCACATATCCTCTTGTTTTCAAAGTGCATCCTATTCTTAGTGTTCAATTAGGACGACTGCCTGTCTGCCTTTGCAAATGCCTGCGTAAGTGTGCGGTTAAACCAAAACATGTCAGATAAAAATGGCAATGTTTTCCTGCTTAAGTAAAATAAAATAATGTTAATGAAATCTGCATAACATGTAATATTCATAGACATTTAAATGCGTGTTTCAATAAACCAACTTCGTGTAAAAAAGGTTCTGGCAACTTTAAAAAGCTTCTATATACAGCTTTTCTGGAGGTTCTTAAGGATTTTAAACCAGTGTGTTTTAAAAGAATACTTCTCACATTACTGCATTTTGATAGATTTATACAATATAAAAAAGACACAATAATAATTAAGTTGTTTGAAATATCTGATGAATTCAAAAGCATATAGAAACTTGTCGGACTTAATTCAGTTAATAGATAGTAGTAAAAATTAAAAAACAGTCTTGAACTATGAAGATTATTACCTCTTAGTTTTTTCCTGTTAACTGCATAATAAGCACCAAGAAATCAACATGAAATTACAATTCTGTGGTTTTTCCTTGCCAGAGAATGAAACTTTGACTTTTCAGAAGCAAATCCACTCACATTCAACAATATCGATTTTTAAATGGAAACATCCAGAAGCAAACAAAATGTTTAGCTCTTATTTATAAGAAATAAAATCTCCATTATCCCCTCATAATGTTTGCACAGTTTTCAATTTGTGTCCAAATCTTTAGGAAAGGGTGTGCACATATGTACATTTCCAAATCTGATGTGGATGAAATTTTAAAATATTGTCAAGTGCTGTTTAAGTAAGAGTTAATATAAAAGTTTAATAATTTTTTCTAGCAATTTGAACTGTGTGTGTCACAGAAAAAGATCAGAAGTCATGGAAATATTTATTATTTGACTTGTGTGTAACTAACTCATTAAGAAAGCTAACCCTGCAAGCAAGGTTTTTCTGATTCCAAACACCATAACAGAAATTAGTCCAGAAATGAATCTTTACCTCACACAGGAGGCACAGAAGCAGGTGAGTATTTGCAGACTGAAATTCTACTTGGGCTTAATCAAATGCTTTTTTTCCTTTAGTTAGCTCATAATATTTTGATGCCATTTACTGGCTGTTCTACTTAGAGTTTTAGGATGGAAGGGGATAAATATTTTCTCTTATTCTGTAAAGGCTTTGCTGAGGAAAAGCTATCTAGGACTTACACAGAGAACTAATTAATATTTCAACATTGACTTCTTCAAAGGAAAGAACTGCATAAAAAGTACATTATTCATTGCTGAATTTGCCCGCATGATGTCACTTGAGGTTCCCAAAGTAGAAAACATAGAGAGATAAAGAGAATACAGACAATGACAAAATAGTACCTCACTAATAACTACGTTTGCATATTTTGCCCCTTTAAAAAATACCGATTTATTCTTGGTTTTCGTATTTTGTAGAAAATTTGGTACAGCTCAACACATTGGTTTCAAACCACTTTCTATATATGTTCCTACTTGTATGTGTGATTAATATGCCTTCCTGCCAATGATGGTCTTTTCTGCATGTTTGGCTTTTTCCATTATATATTGTTTGTTTCAGTACTTTCTCTTCTATAAACCACATCTTTCACATTTATGATAAAGGAGGCAATATCAAAACATAAATTTTTCCAAAGTACAAGCATTTTGATTAATTTCTTTATATAGAAATTATATTTCCTTTGTGTTTTCAATACAAAGCAGTATATAACTTGGGTCAAATGATGTTTAGCTTTAAACAAGTATTAATATCAAAATATGCAAAGAGCTACCAGACTGATATGAGAGCAGTTAATTATCCATAGTATATTTTAATAGATATGTTTTATTAGGTCCACTGGCTTTCTTTTGTAAGTAGAACAAATATAACTTCATTTATTAACTGTCTAATTTTACAAATGTGATCGCTTTTATTACTCAATAGCTCTATAAAATGTCCTCAGACATAGCTACTACAAAGGCCTAAACTAACCTTCACATTCACTTAAGTTATTGAGAATTACTTACTCTTTTATTTGTATTTTTTCCCAGACATCTTAACTAGTCCAAGTGAAACAAAAGGGCAAGTAAATTCTGGTATCATTGAAGAACACTGCATAAAGAACCTTACTCTACAGGCTGAAGTTAACAAGTTTTAGTGCTATTTTTCCACTGATAGAAATTAATACTTGGGGTTTGCTTATGTCTTAACTGCTTCTCCCTCAGCTTTAGAACACTACCTTTTAGTAAGTATGGGTATTTTTTGCTGATGAAAGTTA